AGGCTGCCCACTTTGCCAGTTCATCAGGAAGGGAAGCATAATAAACACAACACACACACAAAGGTGTCTAGGCCTTCATGAAGGATATGTAGAGAAATAATAGTTTTCCGTTTGATATTTTTGTTTAACAATGGTTTATCCCATTTAAAAAACAACTCTTTCATTTACCTTTATAAAGAGACTGACTCATGATACAATCTAGTCTGGCTGATTGCTTCATGTTAAGGAATGTAATTGCCTCTACTCCTTCGCCATTAGCGTCATAGAAGTTAAGATTTACAACACAAAGACTAATTCTACCAGATCACTAAAAAACAAAAGCAGACCCAGAACTTATTGCCATGGGTTCACGTCCACTCCACGCACAGGGGCTCCAGAACAGACCAGGACTGCCGTGTCCACTCATAGGGGCTCCGGAACAGACCAGGACTGCCCCACCCCGTCCTAATTTCGGAGACGAACTGTCTCCTGAAGGAGAAAGCCTCATCTTTCCTCTGATCACTTACAGAATACGGAGGATCCTTGCCCAGCCAAATGGACACACGCTTTTGGGGGAACACATTTCAATCCATAACAGCTGGCACCCACAAACTGGTATTATTGACATGTGCAAAATGTGCCATATTTTCCTAGAAGCATTCCTTGTAGCAAAATGTAGGATGGTCTGAGGCAGAAACGGAGTGAAGGCACAGAAGTGGATCAGGAGGCTGTGAGACTCAATCTCCAACACAAAGATTTCAGGGTGCTAACCCTGAAGATGAGAGGGTTAGGCCTGGCTGATGAGCTTATCAAAAAGAGTTTTGAACTGAATTTTGTAAAACTCTTCGGTTGATTTTGCATTAACTCTAAACTGTTGAATGATTTGTTTGTATCCTTTATGGACTGGTTAAACTAATTTAAGTAAGTCTTGGCCTGTTCTGAAAAGAACAAATGCTGCACAGGTGAGAAAGTGGAAGTGCAGCTGGAAGGGAAGCGCGCCCGAGGCACTGGGGGATGCGGACCAGAGAGCACGCACTTCAGGAGGGCTTCAGCGGGTCCATCAGAACGATGGGCTGCACATGAAGCAACTAGGTGTCATTTCCTCACAACGGAAACCATATACCATATCATGACCAAGAGAAAAGACCTTGGCGTTGCCCATGACTTGGGTGTACTTACCCACAATGTGCGCCTAGAGAAGCCGCAGTCAAGCAGTCCAACTACCGAGAGTATGAGGTGCTTCAGTGACGAGACCCCAACACACAGCCACGGAGTGGAATCTGACTCCCACAGACCCTAGACGCAGAGTAGGACTTAGCACACACCAGGTGTGTCTGAGGATATAAACACAGGGAAGCGGCCTGCCACATCTTTCTGCTGCCAAGTGACGGGAAATGCCACTGCATCCCCAGGCCTCCCTCTCTGCTTGCAGAGTTTCTCGCAGCACTAAAGAGGGAAGGTGTTACACTCCTCTCACTCAAGGCATTGTATTGTCAATCACCTCACTTGCAGGCAGAAGCTAGACAATGAATAAGGAAGACCAAAGAAGTGGTGTGTTTGAATGCTGTGGTTGGGGAAGATTAGGGAAAACTCCACAAACTTCCAAAAGCGCAAATACATTTATTTATCTCGTAAGAAGTCCAGCTGGCCTGCTCCTTAGAAGTGAGATACAAGATTTGTCTTGCTGTCTTTGGGTATTGCATATCGGGAGGGATTAATCCCTGTGGAGTACATCTTACTTGGTCTATAGGTGTGTTAGGCTGAGTTGCATAGAGAAACAAATCCACTGACAGTCATATAAGTATCAGACAGCTTTATATCAACATGTAACCTGATATTAAAAGAAGGCATCTCAGTCCAGTTCAACTCACGTCCACAGTCTGACGCGAGCTAGGGCTCCTTTCACACTCATGTTGCTACAGGTACGGCAGGAAGATGACAGACTGTGGACATAGTATCCCAGGGATCCCAGGTCATTGGAAGCTTGGGAGGATGCTGACAGGTCTGAGGATCGGGTGGCCCAGAGGGGGCTGTGAAGGCAGGCAGAGTTCCAGCAGGCAGGCAGAGATAGATAGAAGGAAGTTCCCAGGTTCCTCCCTTAAAAGAGGGACAGACCCCCAAAGAGGCAAGATCAAGCTGTGACTTGGTAGACAGATGGGGTCCTACCATCATACAAATTCAAGTGGACATAAGATCATCTAACTACCCCAGGAAGGGGGTTGGGGGAGAGAGAAGACACTGGAAGAGGTGTTTAGGGTGGCTGCGACAATGGGCTGAGACAGACCTACTATTGTGCAGAGTGCTGGACCAGGCAGTATGTCCTTGGGTGGGATATGGTGTCCCCACGAGTCATGTTCAGTAAAGTGGAGGAGCTGTGAAAAAGAGAAAGCCCTCCACCAGATGGATGGACACAGTGGCTGCATCAATAGGCTCAGGCACAGGGACAATTGTGAGGCTGGCGCAAGACCCTGTAATGCTTTGTTCTGTTGGGCACGGGGGTTGCTATGGGTCAGAACTGACTCAGTGGCACCTAGCAGCAACAACAACAACATGAGTCAGAATAGACTTAAGGGATCCTAACAACAACCTTTGTCTTTGGAGAAGTCTAGAGTAACCTGTCCAAAGCCAAATGTTCAGTGTCCTCAGCCTGCTATCCTTGAATCTTGAGCTTGGTTTCTGGACAGCCAGTTGTAAAACACACAAAGCCCAATTATAGAACCAAGAAACCAGTAAAAAAAATTTATTTAACATTTAATTCTCACCAAAATGTTATCTAATTTATTAACCCACAAAAGTATCTAGAGCTTAGATACAGGTAAAAATACCATCAATGAGAGGCACACAATCGTTTATTATATTAAGAATTGTAAAGGAGCTTCATAAAAACCCCGATTTATCAGAAAGTGCTAAAATTATAGTAGGGGGTTTCAAAAGGTTTAAATATTTTGAAACCATAACATAGGATAAATTGAGAAATAATTTTTATTTTCTTCAGGAAAAAAAACATTAAATAAGAAAAGCATCAAAAAAAAAAAAAAGAAAAGAAAAGCATCGACTCTTGGCGTGGTAACCGTATTTTTATATTCTTAAATATATTTCTCAAAGAAGTACCCCAGATGTAATAACATTTACAACCTAATGATTAAATTATTTAATCAGATGCTGAATACACTACACAAATAGTTTATATCATACCCAATTTCCTAGGTAGCAGCAGGCATTCAACAGCCTCCAAAACTTCTTGAATGAGAGGCCATTATTGGAATCTTCATACTAGAATTACTCTGGAATCCTACAGAGAGAAAACTTCAGTACCAGTTATTACCCACAAAGAGCTTGGGCCCTGAAGGTTGTGTTCAACTGGACTGTGTTATGATTCTCTGGTTTGGCAGTTAGGTTGTAGCCATACCCCCACAATGAGATCTAGAGTCATGCAATCACCTCCTTAATGTCTTCTGCCCTGAGCAGCCTATCCGTTGAAAGGGAGTTTCCGTGGGGGAGTGGCTTACACTGCATATAAAGGGCCTTTAATTCTGAGAACTACTCTCCAGTTTGTTCACTCAGGAGCCTGCACCCAGCTCTTATCATCTGATCTCAGGTTCCTGGGAGTTGAGTCAGGAGCCAGCTGAATTGTGTGCTCAGCTTGCCTCTGAAACCTGGGAGCCAGCAGGCTTGCTGTGTGACCTGCCGAGCCAGGATCTGTCTGTTTCTGAAGCTACTTGGTTCAACAGAAGCCTCCGGTCTGTCATCTGACCCGCAGCCTGGCAATCTGCCAGCCTCTACAAACCGGTGAGTCATTTCCTTGTGACGAATCTCTTTCTCTGTGTACAAACAGTTCCTGGTTACATATTGTATATTAGACATTATATATAGAATGTTATTTATATTATATATCACATTTTTAACTGGTCAGTGTTTCCTGGTGTTGTGATGAGGTCAAGACATGTCTATTAGAAATTATAATAAGAATTGAAGTGTAGCAAACTCAAATTTGTATTCCCTCTTGTTTTGGATTTGAAGATACAGAGAACCCTCGCCACTTTGCGCTTCTACTTCCACGGCTTCACTCTATCGCGGTTTTTGCGTAACAGCGCATGCTCTGTCATTACTGCCACTGATTGACTCATACTGTACATGCTTCTGTCTGCATCGCTACGGATCGGAGCTACGTATCATATGCATTTTTGCTTTTGTACAGTGTACTGTAATTGTTTGCGATTTTTAAGAAATTTTATCTAAGCCCTATGATGGCTCCTAAACGAGCTGCTTCTTCTAAGCCTTCTGACAATAAAAATAAGCGCCAGAGGAAGATGCTCACCATCCAGGAAAAGGTAAAACTTTTGGATATGATCAAAGATGGCAAGAAAATCATGGAGGTTGCACGCCCTTGATTACAGTATTTGTAAGAACTATGTTTAATAATACTGTATGTGAAATATGTAATACAGTAAACTAGATGCCATAAATAATATAATAAATGATAATTGTAACGTCCAAAATGTTTTACTGTATTTTCCCTTTTTCATTTAATAAATTGGGTAATACGAGTGTAGTGGTGACTAAAGGGTGTTTTTTCATGTCCTCTATGCTCTAACTATGAAAAGATTTGATTTACAAATAAGGACTCCTACTTCGCGGAATTTCATTTATCACGGTAGGGTCTAGAACCGATTAACCACGATAAACGAGGGTTCACTGTATATCTTCAGACAGATAAAATATTCAGACACACATTTACAAGCATATAGTTGCTTCTTTGGGGAGTTTGCGTGTGTGTATCTATGAGTAAATAACTGCAGTGAATTACTTCATGTGGTCCTGAGGTCATGCACCTACAAAGTGATCAACTGGGGCCAAACATAGAAGGTCAACAGAACCATGTGGGGGTGAGACCATGTAATATGAAACCCTAACAAGTGGATTGCTCCTTTCCCCATCCTTCTAGGCTCAGAGAGAGCAATCCTCCAACCAAGAAGATCTCACCTCCATCAAGAAAGGAAGTCCGCCTAATCTGAGTTGAGATGGCAGCAACAGCTCCAGAGGGGACCACAGGCAGATCTGGAGCCCGTTGGCGGCAGAGCCATCTTGAGCCTGGAGCCAATGGTAAAGCCAAACCCTTAGGGGGCACAGAAGACCACCAGAACTGCCTGGAGTCTGAGGAAGTGGAGCAAGAGGAAGTGATACTGGATATTGAATCTGAGTCATGGCCTGAGCCAGAAGTGAACCATCACCAGTCCTGGTCCCATGCCGAAGCTCCGGAACCAACAGAGGATGACCCGATGGATCATGCTGATGAGGATCCGGAAATAGAAGCCATCAAAGCTCAAGCCAGAGAACTGGAGGACGAGGTTGACAAGCTAAAAGAGCTACAGAAAGAACTGAGTCAGCAGATGAATATGTGTTCACTTCCAGAAAATGAAAGCCCAAGGTTCATGTCCTTCGAGGAGAAGATGAAGGCGGATTCCCATTCTATCTACGTTGGCAACGTGGACTATAGAGCGACAGCGGAAGAGCTGAAAGCACACTTTTACTTCTGTGGTTCCATCAACCGCGTCACCATCCTCCGTGACAAATTCAACGGCCGCCCCAAAGGGTTTGCATATATAGAGTTCTCAGACATGGAGTCAGCCAGGGCTTCCTTGTCTTTAGATGATTCCCTTTTTAGGGGAAGGCTCATCAAGGTGAACCCAAAACGAACCAACAGACCAGGCATGAACACCACACACCGGGGCTTCCCAAGAGTTCACTACCGTGGCTGCACCACCAACTACAGTGCCCGCTCTCAGTCCTACTACAGCTCCCGCTCTCAGTCCTATCAAGGTTTCCACAGCAGGTGCCAGGGCCACATCTATAGGGGGTCAGCCCACAGGGGCTCAGTCCACAGGGGCTCAGTCCACAGAGGCTCAGTCCACAGGGGCCCTGTTTACAGGGGCTCAGCTCACAGGGGCTCAGCCCACAGGGGCACTGTTTACATGGGCTCCATCTACAGGGGCTCAGTCCACAGGGGCTCAGCCCACAGGGGCCTTGTCCACAGAGGTCGGGGTAGAGCCACATCATGGTATTCCCCTTACTAAGAAAAGGGTGTATTCAGAAGAAAGAATAAGGAAAAAAAGAAAAAGAAAAAGAAAGGCTTAATGGGGGGTCTGGGTGTGGGTTGAGGGGACTTTTCTTTTAAAGGCTATACTGTTGAAGCGAAGAGAATCCCGCACGTAATTGAAGAGCCAGCTTGGGGCATAGCTAAAGGTCTGGAGAGCGGGGCAGGGTGCTGCTCATTCACTCTGCGGGGTTGCCCCAGGCAGTCTGAATGGCTCAAATTGTTTGCCTTGTTGGTCTCCTGCATGTCACCAAGCAGGGGCTGCTCAAGGGGACATAGGCAAGCGTTGGGAGGATAGGTGTTTTTTTTGTTTGTTTGTTTGTTTGTTTTATCAAGGGCTCTGGAAGGGCATCAAACTTTTCTGCTTACTACTTTCTGTCATGGCTTGAAGGGTCTCCCTAGTCTGTGCATTATCTTGCAGCTGGAAGAATCTCCCCCCTGTTCCCAGTGGCTGCAGCACCAATTCCCCTCCCCCCTGGGTACTGAATCCCCTCTCATCTTTCAGGCAGTAGAGGGTTTTTGGTCTTCTGTTTCCCCACTTTTTGAATATTTGTTTGTCTTTGTTTTTATTTACCTTGCATTTTGAAGCAATGGGAGGAAATGGGAATGAGGAGGTGGTAGGGAGATTTTATTTATTTATAAACTCATTTCCTGGTGATGGGCGGTTTGGTTCCTTTTGAATTTATGCCATGGATCGTTGCTTGGAGGCAAAAAAACAGCACCGATGGACGTGGAGGGAAAGGGTGTCCTTTGGCAGAGTTAAGGAACGGGAGCACGCACATCAAGTTTGGAGAGCTACCACCCCTAAACCCGTGTCCAACAGAAGGCGGCACTGCCCTGCCCTGCACCTTTCTCACAAGGTGGGAACCCAGTGGTGGCCCTCTGCACAATCCACCTCTCTGAGGGCTTCCTCTTCCACTGCATCTCCTTTTAATCAAACGGAATGTGTCATCCCAGGGACGAGTTCTTCCTGACAGCGTCTGTGGAGTGAGAAGTCTCACCAAGGTCCTTTCCAAGAGCATTTCAGATGGACTTCTAAGACCGATGTGTTAGTCCTGAAAGTCCGTGGGACAGTCCATGTGATTGCCCACACTGTCATGTAAGCGCCTTCCTTTTCTGCTTCCTTGTTATTGTCCAGTGTTTGCAAGTACATGAGGCAACTGAAGATGCCTTCGGTGAGGTCAGGCACACGGCCATCCCTGAGGGGACACCTGTGCTCTCTGACACTTTAAATAGGTCTTTTGCAGCAGATTGGCCCAATGCAACGCATTATTTTATTTTTGACTGCTACGTCTGTGGAACCAAGTAAAAGTAAATATGTGACAATTCCGATCTTTTCTCTGTTTATTGGTCCAGTTGGGAGTTTTTGTTTTCTTCACTTGGAAGTACAATCCACCCAAATATTGTAGTCTTTGCTTTCACCGGGACATGTGTCGAATCCTCATCATTTTCAGAAAACCGGGTTGTATTGTCTTTGTATTCTTTTAGGTACAAAGGAGACCCAAATCTCAAATACAATTTAAGAACATTTATTCCATCTTCATTGGGACAAAGACAACACAAACACACACACACATAATCTGGATGAGGGAGGCCATTAGCTAGAGATCAAAATTATGTCTGAGGATTCACAGTAGGGTCATTATTTAAATAAACATAGTAAAAGGCACTGTCCCAAATTAATAATTGGTGGCAGATCAATATATCACAATTTTAGGTGGGACTTCAGGAGCAGGGCTATGAGTGGGACAAGTACACTAGGTAAGATTGAAGAGATTACAAGACGGGTCTAGGGCCTTCCGACTAAGGCAGTCAGGCCAAGATTGATAGGGCCTGATTGATGACTATGCGACCCCTATACTGTCCTCAAGGGTCCAGTTGGTGTAGTGGGTTACACGTTAGACTCTTAATTGCAAGGTCAGCAGTTCGAAACCATCAGCTGTTCCCTGGGAGAAGCAAAATGAGGCTTCTACTCCAGCCCACTGAAGTTATGGTCGCAGACACTCACCTGAAGAGCTCTCCTGTTCTATAGGGTTGCTATGAATTGAAATACATTGGATGGCATTCAGTTTGTGGTTTTCATTCTTTGTTTTTTGGTGGGGGCTGTTCCCAATACAGTGATCTCTATCAAATACACACCCAGGCAAACGCCTAAGAGAGATTGGAGGTAATCTATTTCCCAAAGTACTCTGCCAGAGGGCAAGTTTATCTACTCACTCATTCCCCTTGTGGGTTTCTGAAACTGTAACTCTTTTTTTTTTTTTTTTTTCTCACATGATTAAGGAAGTGAACAGCTTATAATTCAGGTAAGAAATGCTCAGGATACAGTTGTTTAGTCAGAATAGTTTCTTCTTTGTTGTGTCCACAGGCAGGCTTCTCTCTGGCCTTCCACCACTTGGCCTTGCCTCTGTCCTGCTTAGGCAAATGCACAGGGCATCCCTGGGAGTCTCAACTGAAGGCATTCAGCTCCAGCTCCATGGGTCAGCAAAACCCAGGCTCCCAATTAAGTGCCCAGGGGCTCCGCACTCCACAAGCCTGCTTCCAATCCCAGAGCACTCAGCTTTTGTTCTGGGGGCTAGCAAGCCCACAACTCGGTCTCATGCTCTGGCTTCTTCTCCTTCTGTTGTTTCTCCTCCTCTCCTGGTGTCACAGCTGTTTCCTGGATCAAGGAGTTTCAGTGCTTGCAGATCTCGGGGTCCAAAGGATGAGCTCTACTCCTGAACTCTTCTCTTTTACTGGCAGTGACATCCCATCCTGCTTCTGAGATGGCTCATTTAAACCCAGTGAGGTTGTCCCCTCTATATGGGAACAGAAAACCTCCTCTTTCTCCCATAGAGCATCTGAGGATTTCAAATCACTGACCTTCCAGGTAGCAGCCCAACGCATAATCACCGTAGCACCACAACTCCCAAGATTATCTACAACCTTGGCTAATGATCAGAAGAAATTTAATAGAGGCTTAATGTATGTTGGGACCCTACAAATGGATTTTTCAATCTCTACCGCGTTGCAAACTGGGGTGTTCAGAATTTAAGATGTAATCAACAGAATCACAATTGATCAGTTGAATATTCCAACTTTTCAGATTATTTGCTTAGCATAAATACTGAATAAGTGTGAAAGAATATGACTCGGACACACTCTTTCTGTATTTGAAACCACAATGTATACCTTGTTCTGTTAGATAGATTGCCTCATTGTTTGTTTGTTTAAGATTATTGACAGATTGCCTCTTGCGACAGGGTTCCCACGGACACACTTTAGTGTTCTGTATTTCTTGTTTTTTGAAATGTTATCCATTATGGTCAGGATGCCTATATGCATCTCCTTATCTGAGCAGAAATAATATGTTTCTTATGCATGAAATGGTTGCTTAATTTCACTTGGCTAATCAAGTAGGACAAAGGGCCCACAGATCAGGACAACAATACCTCCAGACTCAAGTCGTTGCTGTAGGAAGCGAGAAAGGTAAGAGAAGAGAACTATTCCTGCAAAGTGTTTTTTTCAAGGTGTTGGAATTGATTTGATAGCAACTGGTTTGTTTCCACTGAGCTCAGTTGATGAGGGATCTGCTTTTATGGAACAGAATCCAACATAAGTCATCTTTGTCCAATCTCTTGGAAAGAGCTTAAAAGGGGGCCCTTTACTGCCCTTCCCAGTAAGGAAGTAATGAGAAAAACATACATATTAGAGCTTCAATTTTGAACACCCAGTTTTCAGAAGACTATGAATGACCATGAAAGCCAAAAATCCATCTTCAGACTCCCAGCACAGATTAAGGCCTTCATTGACTCTCTGCTGACAATTGATGTGGTTGTAAATAAGTTTGCCTTAAAGCAGAGTGCATTAGTCAGTGGATTTCCTCCACTCCCTATCCAGGCAGCTTGGGAAGGGGCACTCTCCCTTAAGGGCTTACCTGGGAGTGTTCCTGATTGACATCATCTTATTGGGAGTCTCACAGTTATGAGTCATGGCCTGTGTTCATACCTTGACTGCCTTGGTCCAGACCAATCTCATAAGCTCTTCTGTCTTACAAAATGTACATTCCTGTTCCTCATCCCCTACAATGACAGGAGCTAGGAGACCCACTCAGCTTACATCTGACTCATGGACTCTCACTTACTGGTCACACAGTCAGGATTTTTGTTTTCTTTCCATTGAGTGGTAATCCACATTGATCTTCATCAGCAAGTGCATAAAGTCCCCCTCACTTTCAACAAGCAAAGTTGTGTCATCTACATATTGCAGATTGTTAACAAGCCTTCTTCCAAACCTTATGTCACACGCTTTTCCATATATTCGAGCTTCTAGGAGTAGTTGCTCAGCATACAAATTACATAAGTGTGGTCAGAGGATACAACCCTAACACACACCTTTCTTGATTTTTAACCATGCAGCATTCCCATGTTCTGTTGGAATGAATGCCTCGATCCACATACAGGGATATGAGCACAATAAAGTGGTCTGGAATTTCTATTCTTCTCAGGACCATCTATAGTTACTTATGATCCACGCAGTTGAAACCTTTGTATTGCCAATAAAACACCCGTGAATATCTTTCTGTTATTTTCTCATTACGGTGCCCTCAAAAAGAAAAAACAGTTTTGTTTGCACCATGGGAAAACCAATTCTGTTTCATTTTTAACGAAACTTAAGTTGGCACCTTCCAAAATCACGGGAGCATGCCAACAACGTGCAAATCATTCATCCTCCAAGGCTTGAAGGACATCTGATAAGAGCAGCAAGATGAATTCAAGACAGAGGGCTGTTCAGGGGCTAGGAAGATGATCTGTTGGGTTCCCAAATGTGTAATCATGTTAGGTTTTTCCCAAAGGACACAGGACAAAACACGGGCTAATCAGGATGAACTTTTAAGAGAGTTGAAAGCTACGTGCACGAGAAAAAAGCCAGCAAAGTTGTCCTGAGGGAATCCCCCCGCCCCACCCCCACCCCTCACCTTCCCAACAATTCTACCCATTC